TGGATCTTTGACCTCTGAGTTTTCCAGATATTACAACTTCTCAACCTTTGGCTCCACTTTCCATGATGAATCGAACAACACCATAGCAAGCTTTTCGTACTGGAGCACCAGCCAGAAGTTCGTATCTGAGAGACACACACTGAGCAATTGCGCACAATCCACGGAATGTCACCTTTTCATCCCCCCCCCCCCTATCTCACCGCAATCCCCTGCAGATCGAAAACCTCAAGGTCTTCCAGCAGCAGCCGCGGCGGGGGGTGCTGCGCCATCCGCGGGACGTCAAGCACCGCAAGCGGCATCCTCGCGCGCCGGCCGAACATCTTGTTAGGCAGAGGCGGCGCGCCAACCTTGGGGTTGTGTACAATAGTATACCCGTTGGCCAAGACGTGACAGATATAGAAAACAAAAAAGGATTGGTGAGTGCTTAAGTTCCGCATGTGTTTTTTGAGTCAGCGAACGCAAGGGGGGTGGGGTGCGAGCGACCGGTATCGACCTTCCGGTGCTGCCTCACCGTTATTGTCGAACCGGATAAGATATGTCCCTTCGTTTCTTGCTCTTTCAACAAGGTTCCCCCCCCCCCCCCCCCGCGGTGTACGTTTAACACCGATCGGTGTGCCACCGCCGACTCATGTGTTAAAAGTAACGCCCACAGCAGTAAGCCGTTCGGCAACAATATCGAAAAAGTTGGGGGAAAAACGAGAGAGGTGCAAAGCAAAGACAAGCAGCAGAGCAAGGAAACAAACGAAAAAAGAAAAAAAAAGTAGACGCTGCCTTCGTCCAGGAGGACGACGACGCCATGGGGTGCACGCCTTCTGCAATACGCCGAGTCGTTCTGGTTCTCGCTGGGTGAAAACACCACCTGGAATAAAACATTTCTCTTCGTGTAGCAGCTTCAGCGGCACCCGAGCAAGTGCAGTCCATGACAAGGGAGGAAAAAGGAAGGTTGGTCGGGGGACGTTCCGAAGCTGGTGCTGCTGCAGCACGATGTATACCGCTGCAGAGATTGACCGCTGTAGCACATGTGTGTACGTGTGGTCTATTGGCATCAACCCCGCGCCTTGTCCTTGACCCACCTCGGGCGTAAGCTTGACGACGAAGGCGGCGTGTATCGGCTTGTGGTCGCTGCTCGTGATCTGACCGAAAAACAACCGCGGCGCGCGCCACACCCAACAAACGCCGTACAAACAACCAGCACGAGAGAGGCCGGCGTTGGGTGAGAACGGCCGGGGGAAGGGAGGGGTACGTGTAGCCAAGTCGTACGAGCATGCACGTGTTGCTATTTCCGAACGTCAGTTGTACACACACCTTTGGGTTGTGTTTAGACGCGCCAGCGGTCTACACAGGATATTCTCCATAATTTTTTTCTTTTTTGGGTCTCCACACTGCTGTTGTTCTTCTTGTGCACTGCATGTTTGTGTTTTCGCAGGGGATCTTGAGCCGTTCCTTTCCCTCGTCGATTTGTTGTCAAGTCAAAGGACTGCGCACACACGAGCCAGCCCTTCCACTTGTTTGGGGCATGCTCCGAGATGAACAACGTCAGCTGCGCCGTCAAGGTTCGAATCTACGTCCGGAAAAAGAACACTTGAGAGGAGACGACCGTTGCACGAAGCCAAGAAAAAAATATGTCTCAGGTCAGACACATCAACCCACCACCCTCCAACAACAACAGGTACACCATCTAGCCTTTTGGTCGGTAGGCGATTGCCTCGCAATTTTGTTGTCGATTTGGGATATTACGCTGAAAACAGAGTGGAAGAAAACGCCTACCTAGCACATTTCCAACAGCATCGGACATAATACCTCAGGGAAGCTGGTGAACTTTAGCAGGTCAAGGTTTGCGGCGTGTCCCGGGAGCGACTTCCACAGGATGCGGTCGGTGTAGCTGGGGATCCTCTTGGCGCTATAGCCGCTCGTCTCCCCTCGGATGCCCTTGAACGTAGGCGCGAAAGCGGGGGGCTCCGTCTACACGGCGCGTGCGGGGGGGGGGGGGGGGGGCCTCCTAGACTGGTGAGTTCCCTGGTGACGATGGCTGGGACACTGCAGGCCTCTCAGCTGATCCGGAGACCCTCACCAAGAAT